AGCTGCAAGAAGTCAATCTGTACACAAGGAAACGTGACCCGGGTGCTGGAGGTGTTGCACAGATGCCTTTACGGGGCAGAATGCTCCAAAAGAAAGGCGGTAAAGAGGAAAATCAATAAAAATTGTCTTTAAAGCTTGGCATGGACAGCATTCTCTGCAGCAAGTGCTCTCAGCAGCGTATGAGCCAGGGTACCTGTGTAACTAAAACACCGTTGCAAGGCTTACAAGAAATAACACTCATTTTGACCAACACCAAAAATAATGTGGTATCAAGGAACATGAAATATTCATGAGGTCTGAGCTAACATGCACATTATAGCTTGTGTACAGTATTACATGCTTTGACGCTGCCTTTGCAACCTTGTAATTCCCAAGCATGGCATGGTTGGTTACACGGAGAAGCCTGGTCTTACTAGTTCAAATTGAAACCGAGGGAAACTTTCATGGGTAGAGTTTACACGAATGACAAAGGAAAACACCTGATTAAGCGCCGTTGGCTGTATCTCTACCCCTGTGCCCAAGTGAGAGCTGCGTGTGCACAGACACACAGTTACAAGTAACAAGGGGACACGCTAAATGCCCATATATCAGCTCTGCAAACCTCAGAGGGAGTTCACACAAAAGTCTTAACGAGCTCCTTCTGTCTGTTTCCTAAATACGCACATACATGCAAAACAGAGGGATGATGCTGATCAGAGCCCACCTCACCTTCACTGCTGCAAGCCTGGAGAAATCCCGCTCTTTGGAGTTGCCAATTTTAGGAGAGTCCATTGGCCGGGTCTCGCCAAGAGGCAGTACTAATCTTAGCAAGGTCTGACACTTTCATCTACGGACACTTTGCATTTTCAAACAAAGCAGCCCCCACCACACCCCAGCCTGCTCCTGCCCCTGCTCCCAGCGCAGCTGGAGGGCAGCCAGCCCACATGCAGCCCCCGCTGCGGGCAGGGCACCCTGGCAAGAGCCACGCAGGCTGCACTGCTGTCCTGAGCCCAGGCGACACGCTACAACACCAGACTGGAGTTTGCCGGCCAGGATGTGCTGATTTTAAACAACCCAGCTGTAAGAAAAATACAAGGCAGCTAAGGAGAAGCAATTCCACAGTTGTGGACTTCTGCCCTGTGGGCATGATGCAAGCCTGTTTCCAATACCTGCAAGCTAACAATGCTGAGCTTTCCTGTGGCTGATCCAGCTCCAACCAAACAAGGGCAGCATCAGTGTAAAATCAAAATATAAGCAAACAGCATTAGCACAGAATGAAAATACATGCTCAACCAGGCGGTGCTGAAATCTTTCCCTGTAGGAGAGAGCGAGCAGGGATGGGCAGAGTTAGGAACAATGTTCCAAGGTGTTAATGCTGACGCTCCAAATTTACATGAAAATAGATTATAGTGTTTCCACTGCTGCTTTAGCTAGTTAGGGGACAGTTTGCATTGCCGGCGCTTTGCTGGGACCGGAGTCTGAATGGATAGCAGTCAGCAGAAGAGACCATTCTGTTGAGAGCACAAGACTAATACAGCTTCAATAATTACGTGTGACCATGTCTAGCAAGGCAAACTGCTGTGCTGTAGTCACTCCGGCAGTTACCACTGAGCAGGCACTCCCTGCTCTTGCAAGTGGCAACAATAAGTCTAAGGCAAGAAATCTGGAAAGAAAGTTGGATACTGGAATACCACAATCTTTTCCTAAGCACACAGGAAAGCTGAGCAGCAACCGCCCACCTTTTTAAAAAATAAAAGGAAAAAAAGTAAGTTATACTCTGCTGAATATTGTCTGCCTTACAGAAAACAGCAGTTTCCTAAAATTGCCGATAAGTAATTTATAAGCCAACAGCATCTGGAAAGCGCAGCTGCCCTGCTGAGTACCTGCTCCCCACAAGGATGAAGCACGCAGAAGGCACAGCACAAGGGACAGGCCGCGCTCACGCCAGGGACATGTCTGCCTGATGCCACCCGCCCCAGCTGACCAGAAACCCCTCGGCCACTGCTCCACCTCGCCTCACCAGCCCCAGCTTCGATGCCACGCTGTGCTGGCCCGGGGTGTGCTGCCAGGGGTCCCGCACAGGGGACACTGCGTGGGCATGGCGTGCGGGGCACCCCGGGCCCTCGAAGGCGGGCGGACGGCACACTGGAGGAGCGTGCCTGCCCCGCGCGTGGCCAGCACGGCCCAATGCTGTCGAGGCACCAATGCAGCCCGAGCACCAGCACCAACACGACACTGCTCTGAAGAGCATCTGCTGGGACCAGGCACTGCTGGGCAGCAGAGCTCCTGCAGCTCCCTCTGCCCGCAGGTTACAAGGAAGGATTTCACACCAGTGCAGACCTAAACCCCTCCAATACTGGTAATGAGCAAAACTCCTTTTCCTTATCTACATTTCCTACTTTGCATCTTCTGCTATTTACTTTGTTAAATAACTATTTGTACATCTGCTTTTCTTTAACGTACCAACATCACAGTCCTACCTTCGTGTGCTTTACTCCTGATGCAGTAGTATGAGCTCACTTTCACTTCAGTGAGAAACAACCATCACCACACAAAAAAAAAAGTCTCCCTCCAGTAATTGCTATTTAATCCTTGACCAACAAAACTAACAAGTTCTTCTAAGAGAGGCAAACCTTTGGGGCATTTGATTTTTAGAACGGCTGAGCACTGCGGCACTGCAGAAATAAGATATATAAAGTGTATTTTATTTTTGCTGCTCAACAGCGTGAAAGAGCTAATGCAGCGGGGCTGCCTGCGCCTTATACAATCTGACAAACCAAACAACCCAAGGGTGCTCGTCCTCCCCAGCACTCAGAGCACGTCTCATCCATTATGAGAACGCAATGTGAAAACTGACCCTTCCCATCTAAGTATCAGTAGAAATACTGTTTGCCAGCCAGGTTAGTTCAGAAAGAAGAGGCTACTGAAATCACTCCTGGCATAGAAAAGCAGTACAGTTCATCATTTAATACAAACAAGAGTTTGTTTTCTTTCAAAAAATAAAACCTCTTTTGCTCATTTCTGATTTTGTTTCTTCTTCCTTAAATCCTGACTATCACAAATTCTTAAGTAAAGGCTGCACAGCTACAGCATTACTAAGCATTAAACACAATGGCACATGTGTGTGAAACACAAAAGAATAGTTAAGGAAAGATTTTCATAGTTGAAAATTAATTTAAATACTTTCACGATAGATGGACTCAAAACCCTTGGATCATCATGCTCCTTTACTTTTTCACTGGAGTGAATCATCTAAGCTACCGCATATAATCAGCGATTTAGAAATTAGTAAATATTCAGTAAATACAGCAAAACTTTGGAATTCAGGATCTCTACAACAGCCCTACAGTTCTGTGCTTTTCTACTGAAAAAACAGTTGCATTACAAAAAAGGAAGCAAAGTCTGTAACAAAAGCTGACACAACACACAATGCTCATTGAATCCTCTAAGTCAGATTTCTTATTATGCTCTGCACACCAAAGAAAGTTATTAATACACTAAACAGCAGCATTTGCTAGCTTCTTTGTACCACAGTGAACCTTTTTAACATACGAGCATCAATCATAGTATTTAATAAAATAACTGCTCAAAGTGACTTTATTTTAAAATCTCAAAGAAGTTTACTAGAATTTTGAATGAGAACTTAATAGATTTGTATTAGCTGATGTAGGATAGCTACATTTTAAGAGACATCGAGAATGCGATAATTTGTAACATTATCTATTGCAAATGCATTGTTGCTTAGGCACAAAATGCAACAAAATCAAACCGCAGTGAAGACCAGAATTTTCACATGTAGATTTTCAGGTTACATTTGATAAGTTAAAAATTTTTATACATATATATATATAAATATGAATTCCTATGCAGGATACAGCGCTATCACTAGAAAATCCCTTTTAAGGCTGCTATTTTCACAGCATATAATTTGTACCAAGAGTCAAGCATGGAAACTAGCAAGTGCCAGATGTTCAGAACATCCGTAAATTCTCTGGCAAACAAAAAGAAGGAATTTGGTGCTTTACTACCAGATTTTGACCAAGTATTTCATCAGTGCAAGAGCTCTGTATAGGCACATGCCTCAAAAGTTCTCCCAACACACAAAATACTGCAGGAATCAACGGACCTGCAAAATCAAACACAATCCTCACATGGGACTTTTCTTGACGTTTGCTGGAAGACAAGAGGTTTAAAGTACAGATGCAAGCTGATTCTTCTAGAAACGGAGAATCCAATAACTAGATTTTCAGCCTTTCTTGGCATAACCACAAAATATTTGGACATGAAACCATGAAAGAGAAAACTGGTGACATCAGAAAACCCGAGAGCGTGGTCCGAGTAGAAAGAAGGAATCTTCTTAGCTGTACTAACGTAGATTTATTTCTTCCTAATTATCGCAGAAGTTAGGTTTAGAGTGTTTGCTGCTCGCGCTGCAGACCGCAAAAAGTTACGTTAAGATCAGAAAACAATCGCGGCACCGCAAACGCAGCGCTCCACCGCCCCACCAGCGCTCGCAAGCTCCGCAGCTCGGCTGTCCGCCGCTCAG